CAATAATTTGAGAGAGAGCTTAGTTAATCAGCTTTGGAAGGGTATTTGAATTCATTACTGAGATCATGAGTTAAAGAATGTCAGCTGCAGAAGGGACGACAACAAGTAGAGCAGCAGCAGCACAAATGTGATGGCCATTAACAGAGGCGGAAACAAATATATACATAAATGCATATACATAAATGTTTATATGTAATCATGAACCAAAGTGGGATAAAAGTTTGTCACTGCTGCTGCTGTCAGCGCCTGGCGGCATTGCTGTCCCATCCCATCCGATCCGAACACAACCCATAACGAGGGCCAACTATTGTGAACAAGGGCTGTTGGGGATGACTTCACGTCGCGGTCTTTCTTTAGTAATTTAGCGCATTACTATACTTAGCAAAATACCCGTACGCCTATGCAAAGATATGTACAAATATATATATATATATATACATATATATGTACATGTATATGAATATTATTAAGATTAATAATAGAGGATGGCTGCTGGCTGATGTGTTTTTAATGAGTTGGACAGTGGGACTGTGTGGAAATAGCAATTAAAGCACATTAATTAATACTAAATAATTTAAGAACAATTAAATAAAATTTGTATTTTGGAGGACCACAGAACAGAACGATGTGAGATGTGAGATGAGGTGGAGTGGTGGAGAGGTGGAGAGGAGGAGCCATCATTGCTGATAACCGTTATGACCGCACCAATACGAACATGCTCTTCCACCCATATCCTGTGCAAATGGAATTGTGTGTCTTTTGAGCCGCAGGCAAACTTTTGTAAAACGAATGAAATTTTCATTAACCACAAAACCCAAAGTGATTTTGCTCGCCAAGTTTTGAGTGGAAAGTTTTTCAACTTGCTACAACTGGACAAAGAGGCAGACAGACAGACCGAAAGAAAGAGAGACAGACCAGAGGGCCGACAGACGGACAGACGGACAGACAGACACATGTTACAAAATTAGCAAATAAATTTCAAGCCCGGACGAAGTTGCCGCGCATTGAATATGCAAATGAAATGCACGCTTTTGTTGACAAGCAACGCGCGGGCTCAAGAGTTCAAGCCGGCTCGGTTGAGCCGACGATGCATTCCTTATGACCGCGAGCCCCTCCAAAAATATTTTCAAACGCATTTCAATTTTTCCCAGAAAGAACAAGAGAGCGCACAAAATTGAAATTTGCATTTGTGTGCGATGTGGAGAATAAAATTGCGCTACGGCAAAGAAAAACAAACCGAAAGCAAAAACCATTCCACATTGTTGCCTAGAAAGAAGAAGAAAAAAGTCCAATTAGGCTACGCGGAGCGGAATTTTGATTGCAGCTTGCAAATTTCAAATGCCGGAGGTGGGAGGGACTATTAAACTAGACGTCCAGTCCAAGCGTAACTTCGTCCTAAGTTAATAGATGCTGTAACTATGCATGCATAACTACTCGTATATACAAGAAGATTTGTATTTTTTAGCTACCTCTGCCTACCTAAAAAGACTACCATACTAGTCACACTTTAATCGATACGAATGGCTAGTGCATAACTCGCAAACCCAAGCAGCCAGCAACTGCCTTACAATAAAACAAAGCAAATCAAAATATCAGTGGCATTACCCGTCAGCAAGTTTTTTTTTTTTTTTGCTCTGCGAAAGAATTCCAAAGAAATTCTTAAAACTTTTTCAGCCCCAAGTTAGCGACCACCACAAATTGTTTCAAGCCAACCCAAGTCAGCCCAGCCCAGCCAGCCAGCCAGCCAACCAACTGTATGAAAAACAACGCATAAACTTTAAAAAAATATGAGTGCCCATTGAAAAATAGTCCAGCAGGAAGGACGTGGGATACACTTCAGCCGAATAGAGCAGCGAACGGCCAAAGCCAAAGCCAAAGGTCTCAGAGCACGGTTCGCTAGAAATGTCGAAAAAGGTAATGGTTGGCAGCAACCGTAAATTTTATTGCATGACTTGATTAAATTCGCATGCACCACGAAACCGCTGGGCCTAGACGTTTGCCTGCCACACTAGTCCTCCTACATGGGGTGCGGAGCAAGCGAAATAAAAAATACATATATACTTGTATAAAAAAAAAAAAAAGAAAAAACTAAAGCAGCCCGCACTGACGGACGGGCCAAGTAAATATAATGACGATGGCCTTACTTGACCATTTTGTTAGTGCTAGTTGCCAGTTGGCAGTTGCTAGCTGGGAGCTCCTGGTGTGCTGTTTCCTCAGTATTTTTCATTTCAACGTGACTTAATGAAGTTTCAGTGTCACCCCTTATTCGGGCCCAATTTCCCCTCACCCCCTGCATGCTCGTAGCTAATGTTTTGATGGATTTTGCACACAGAACACAAACAGCTTTGAACTTTAATAAGTGCGAGCAAGTATGTATGTATGTATGTATGTATGTGTGTATGTATGCATGTGTGTGTGTATGTATGTGAGAGTATGTGTGCAAGCAAGAGTTTAACTTTAGCTGCGTTTCGTTGATTTTAGCAGCAAGCCAACAAAAACACGTTTCCCGGCTCATTCTATGGAACTTTGCTTAAATATGCTCCAAGGAACTTGAAAGCATTTCGGGTTGGAAGCGACGCTGCGCAAAATTTAACGAAGCTTAACCTCATTCAATGTGAAAATACACTTTAGGTGTACTTTGCGCTGTCATTTTGGGCGCAAGTCGAGCAGCAATTGTGCAAATACTTTATGCCAAAGACGAACAAAAAATATAAAAAATACTCGTGTATAAAAAGCAAACGGCAGCTGACAAGATGTGGCTGGCGGAGCAAACTGCCGCGAACTTTTCAAACTTTAATGCAAGACAAAATGATGAATGAGGCTCACGCTCAGCTCTGCTCTGCTCAGGTAGAGTAACTAGCGCCCCAACTAGCATCAAGAAATAGATATTGCGCAATGCTTTGTTCCTCATTGTCGGCCTCATCCTAAATTATGCAGGCAGTTCGAAACAATTCCCTCGAAATTGCCGCGTCTGCGATGATACCCCAAAAGTGCACATGCAGTGCAATAAAGCTGCAATCGAAATTGAAAGTTTTGCTGGCAACATGAGACAGGAAATTGGTTTCAAATTTCACTGCCAGAGCCGAACCGAGCCGAGCAGAGCAGAGCAGAGCTCTGGCGCTGTACCGTGAAGCGCACGCCAAAGACAAAGCCGGGCGAGGAAGTGGGGGCGTTGGCACAAGCCCATCCCATTCAGATCCCGTCCGTGCTCATCCCGTCACACCTCCATTTGTGCAATCAAACATCGAATGGTCGCAGTGCTTGCTGCTGTGCGAAATGTGATGCCTTTGCGGTCGTCTCTCATACACTTAAACACAAGTACGCGTACACTCGCATATCCGTGGGTGGGATAAAAAGTAATTGCTCTGGCCAGAATCACACGACCCCAGTATTTTTTGCTTCGCCAAACAGGTGATCAAAGGTTGAACAACAAATATTGGTCAAACAGGTAGTATTTTGACTTCAACAGAAGAACAAATTGTGCGTTTTAACTATACTGGGAAATATATAACATAATATATAACAAATGCTTGTTTCAAAAAAAAAAAAATCATATCATATCATAAAAAATGGAACAACAAATATTGGGCAAAAAGATCGTATTTCTGCGAAAATTATTCAAAAAATAAACTCCCCCTATTCGAGACTAAGCAATAGAAGAACAACTTGTGTGTTTCCACTAAACTGAGAAATCTACGGCAAATGTTTGATCTCAAAAAAAAAAAAAAAAAAACATCATATGGAACAACAAATATTGGTCAAACAGATAGTATTTCTGTGAAAATTATTCAAAAAATTAATTCCCCCCATTCGAGCAAAGAAGGACAACTTCTGCGTTTCAACTAAGCTGAGAAATGTACGGCAAATGTTTGATCTCAAAAATTAAAAAAAAAAAAATCATATAAAAAATGGAACAACAAATATTGGTCAAATAGATAGTATTTCTCAAAAAAAAAAACATAAAGCAAAATCTCAACACACAAAACAAGTACGATCTGTGCTCGTCTTCTTCTCTATATTGATAAACAAAACAGAGTATTATTGCCATATGTTATGAAGAATCCAAAATTATGGCAGTTATAACAAAAAAAAAAACACATAGCAAAAGAGTTGTGGTGCTTCGAAACTTTCTATTCTGACTTAACCCATCATCTTCTGATCTACAAAAAAAACGTTCTCTGATATGGTGGCTAAACAGTGCTTTATGCGATCTATGTACAAAAGTAAACTTTCTCTGAGATCCTGGCTACATAGAAGAATATCATATTATAAAGAGTATTTTCAGCTTATCATCATACTAATCAAGAATATATTTGTTTTTGGGGTCCACAATACCTCCTTGAACGTGTTTTCTTTCTTTTTTATATATATTTATTTAAATCAACAAATTATGCTGTCGATACTGATTGCTAAAAAATGTTTTACAGTAATAATATATTAATATATTAAATTAGAAAAAAGAGATGTTATAATTTCAACTTACAAAATAAGAAAGCCTCAAATATACATAAATGTGTTTTTCCTTTTTCTTCTCTGGGTACAGGATATATAAACTCTCTAATGGAAAGAAATTCTAGTCTACTCAATTGAATATCTTTGGAGCAAATGAAATTTTCAGTATTTTAAAAAATCGCAATCGCACTTATTTTCCATTCCACTGTCGACAACAGTCTACAAGGCGGTACGAATAAGCGTATACTTGTATGAATGAACATTTGAGACGAAAGTAAAAGTGAGTTCAGGCAATTTAACGGGCATTCAGGGAGGCAATGAACTTGACTATTAAATCAAAGGGCCAATTTCGTATCAAATTACCAGGCATACGAGTATGAGTTTTGGTCTTCAAAAGGCGTGACTATAAAAACGCAAATGCGCTCACACAAATGTTCAGTTCCATTGCAGCGTAGTGGCTGCAACAATTAAGTTGTTCGAACGGATAGGAAAGCACAAAAATCAGAAGCTAGTGCACGCTAACGAGAAGCCATAACAAGTCATTTAAGATGAAGGACTCGCGTCCTCAGGGGCAGCTCCGTATCCGTCTACACCCACCACGCCCGAATGGCCGGCATGCCAACAGTTCATTAATGATCAATGCGTTAATTTACTTGTTTTTCTTGCTGGCCATAACAATACCACCAGCGGCGGCCGTAACGGCGCAGCTGCAGCATGCCAAAAGCAATTACCATGACCCGGCAACGCAGGCGTTGGAAGGATTAGCAGGATACACACGAAATTATTATGGCATTGCGGCGCTACCGGGCGAGTCGCTAGTTGACGTTGATAGTTCCAGTCTGGGACCGGGTCTTAACTTGGCAACGGCAACATATGCAAATTATGGTGGCCACACCAATGGCGGACACCGCGGTGGTCTGGGCAGCTCAACCAGCGGCTTTGTGCCAGCAACAGCAACAACAACAACAGCAACGACAAACTATATAATTCAACAACAACAACAACAGGAGGAGGAGGAGAAGCAACTCTACCACAACAGGCCGCATGAGCTCGAATACGACGCTGGCGGCATTGATGGGAGCAGGCAGTCTAGCAAAATCGATTTTGTCATTAATACGGCAAATTATGAGAGCGAAGCTGGGGCCGATGCTGGGGCCGTCGCCGCCTACGATTATGACGCGCTAAGGGCTCCCACTTATGCGCCCGCCTACCCCAACCCAAATCATTTGCGTTCGTCGCTCCTGCCCGATTATCATATTGAACAATTTTCCAATTATCGCCTGCTCGACGAGAATCTAGAGCAGGAGCAGCGGGAACAGCAGCAACAGAAGCGAAGCGAGCGCGAAGAAAGTGCCGCTCTCTACTCGAACATCAGGCAGCGGAATGGTTTGGTTAGTCATTCGCAGCGTGAGCAACCGGAGCCTGAGAGACTGCCACCGCATTACTATTCGCAATCGGCGCAAGATCAGCAACATCTCTACTCGCACTACCAAGCCCAGCTTGCAGACAACAACAACAACAAGCTACCAGCCATCACCACAAGTGTTCATCATACGCCGGAGAGCAGCAAAGCAATTGCTGGCCAGCCCCTAGCCAAGCACATCGAGATCACAAAACACGTGCCGATCACCCACTATCAAAAGCAGCATGTGCCCTACAAGCAAACGGTTCAGGTGATTGTTCTATGCTTGTCCAATGCGATGCTCCTATAACCAATATCTCTAAATTTAATTACTTTAGGTGCCCGTTCCGCGTAACGTCATCACAACTGTTCCGCGACCGGTGCCCATCAAAGTGCCGGTTACTAAAACGATTGCCATGCCCATGCTTCAGGAGGTCAAAGTTCCTATTGAGAAAGTGCGAACAGTGCCGGTGGAGCGGCCGGTGCCATTTGTGGTGGAGCGCCGTGTACCCTATCGCGTAGAGAAGCCCGTGGCCATATCCGTGCCCTACCCCTATCCAATTAAAGTGCCAGTTGTGCGCACGATTGTGCACAAACATTTGCCAGCCCACTCGTCGTTGCCGGCGCGTCCGCATTTTGTGTGGCCAGGTGCTGGTCCAGCACAAGGAGTTGGCATCGGGAGTGCCTGGAGCTCTGCCAAAAACCTGCTGGGCTGACACACATGTACATACATACATACACTACTGTTTATTTTTTGATCACAACATTCTCGTAATAGATACTCCACCTTACCAAAAAAAAAGCTTGAATTTTGTTCAAAGTTCGAACAAAACAGTTCAAACAAATTAAAATATCGAACTCTAGCTTTAATGAAATAAATGTGTAAGCCACGAGCTTTTTATGTCTCCTGGACAGAGAATTGTTGTTAATTATTTGTACATTAAAATACATTAATTAGCACAATTAGTCCGAAAATGTTAACTGACACAATTTCAAAAAGTTGGCTATTTAAACATTTTAAAGGGCCCGTTTAACAAGAGTTTAAGCGAAGTTCGAATAAACAGCCATAGTTTTTTTCTTTTTTAAGTATTATAGTATTTTATCCCAGTAACAAATACTTACAACTTTGCCAAGACATAAATAAAAAGCAAAGCATCAAAAGCACCACTGCACCCCATCCTTACTACAAATTTGTGGCAACTTCGAAAAATTTGTTCATCCAAAATATGTATTTAAAATGGAACAACCAGATTCGCAAAATATTCGTTGGTGTCAGTCGATTTGATCCCACTTCCTACCAGAACACAATACCAACAAACAACTACGTCTTTAAAATGATAGTGTATTTGAATGTTCAAAAATATAGGGAAATTATGTAATATAACTTACATATATTATAATGTTTGCCTTGACTCACTGATCAAGAATATGTATATTGCCACGCCCCCATCTGCCTGTTACATACACTCGAACTTATCAAATTAAAAAAAAAATTAATTAACTAATGAAAAATGTTCGTCTTGACTCACTGATTAACATACATATATACATTTTGTTCTTAAACCTTAGGAAAAAGTTAAAATTACAGGATGTTTTATTTTTGATCAAACAAATAAAACTCAAAGCATATCATTATTTTCTAAGTTTTATTTTTTTGCTCAAAAATTAATTATATTATAATTATTGGTTAATTTTTAAAGTAACGTTCAAAGATAATTAATAAATTTTTAGTGAATGATTAAAAATTAAAAATAATCATTATTTTGTAATTGTTCTAATAACACTTATAATGATTACGATCAACGTAATTTTTTAGCCATAAACAACGGACAGCTCAATTTATTACAAAATACCATTTAATATAATTCTGCCTGTTACATATATTCGCATTTGTGATTTAAAAAATAATTAATTAATAAATTAATTATTTAGTTAATTAAAAATTAATTAATATAAAATATTCGTCTTGACTCACTGATTTTATTTTTGATCAAAAAAATAAAACTCAAAGAATAATCATTATTTTATAAGTTTTATTTTTTTGCTCATCAATAATGATTATTGGTTAATTTTTAAAGTAAAACTAAAAATTATTCATTAAACTGTGAGCGAATTTATAAAATTAAAAAATAATCATTATTTTGTAATTTGTTTAATAACACTTATAATGATTACAGTCCCTGCAAAATACTAAAAAGGGTTCCTTTTTCATAATAGGACTGTTCAAAATAAACAATAAAGTCCGCAATGGAAATGATTTAAAATCTTTTGATTGGAAAAAACTCAATTTCTGGTTTTTCTAGATATTATATGTCTTGAAAAATCAGTGTACTTGTAGAAAGATACAAATTTATAAAAACGATCTCGGGAATAGTACAAATACCAATTATAACGACTCTAGCTGTTATACAATCCGAATTCTTTGCGTTCATACAGACAGACTGGCAGCTCGAAATGTATGTACCTACGTCCATAATTACACCACTCGTACCCGTGGGCGTGATTATTAGGTTGGAGGCAGCGAGCAGGTGCTGGGGGTATAATCATCTCCAGTGAAGCTAGAGTCAGCAAGTCCCGATGCACAAGCGAAAGACTTCTTCTGGCGCAATTGTAATTGATGACCAAAACGAGAAATAATTAGGTGGCCTTTTCAGAGGCTTGGTAAACACAAATAGAGGCGCTAACTTCTGTCTCTGTTGGCTGCATGGACGAGCAGTTATTTTCATAGATAAAGATTTTATGTTCCTCATCATCAAGCTCTCTCTCTCTATATATATATATATATTTGTAGGTTTCTGTCACGGTCTCTTTGTTATTTGGCTGGCACTACTACCGCAGGCTATGCTCCATTGAAGTAATTGCAATTAGTGCCAAAATCGAGGGCAAAACTACAAAGCAAGTCAAAAACTTTCACCCTGGAAGACCGAAACAAGGAATGGAAGTCAGAAGGCGACTCTCAAAATGAAGAAAAAGTAGCCAAGTAAAACTTTTTAATTGAGCTAAAATCCAACAAATGCGGCTAATAAATATGTATTGAAGTGCGTAGATGGCGATGCAGGGGGCCAAAAGTGCAGCAAAATTCAACAAATTTCAGCGGCTAATTGCTAAATGTAACAACAACAACAGCAATAATACAAGTGGCAGCAGCAACAACACCATGAATCAGCAACAATGGCGCGCATTAACGTAACGAACAACTTCACTGAAGCGATGGCGAAACAACAAAAATTCCCGTTTTTTTTTTTTTTGTTTTGTTTTGTTTTTTGGGGCCAACAAGTGAAGTGCTCGAGGAAGCTACAGCAGTGAGACTCGAGCCAGTGAAATAGCTCCGAGTTATTGCCTTCTAATGAAATTTACTTTAATTGGCGTGCAACTTTTTGGCTACAACAATAGCGCTTCTTGCCTCGTGTCATTTATGGCTTGAAGCCTGCTTCAAACCTTAAATCCCGTAGAATTGAAAACTACAAGTACATTGCAAAAACCAAAAAAGGAGAAAAAAACATAAATAAATCTAATACGCCATACGACAACAAATTCGTAACGAACATTTGTTCAAATTCCCACCAAATTCTGCGCCATTGATGCAGTTCTGTTATCTCATGGGCTGTGTGCAGTGTAACCGCAAAATGGCTGAACGCCACCCAAAAATCAAATTAAATATACGCACAACTCGGTTAGACAAACAGGGAGATAAGCGCCCACACACACACACAAACACACACACACAGTGTTCGTGTGTATGTATATAAATTCATAATTGCAGTGCCCGCAGAAACCGCTTAGTTAAGAATTTTATAACTCGTTTAACTCCTAACCCCAAACTGGCAAATACGGAAACCGCAACACACAATAAATACTCACACGGTCAACATTTTTGAAACGCCGTTCCTGATGATTATGCGTAATGCTCCAACATGTGGGTGAGTGTATGTAGGTGAGTGCGAGTGTGCATTTTATGCAAATTTAAAAGTTTATGTAGGTTTGTTTGTTTGTTCTCAGTGCGTTTTCAGAGCCATTTTGCATGAGACCTTTACAGCCAGCATAAGGTAGTCTCTACAAAGAAGAGGTTTTCCAATGCTCCAATGCACCAAAGTAACTAAATACAGGTACGTAGACAATAATCTAGTTATTATACCCTGTACCCAAAGGGTGAAAGGGTATACTAGTTTTGTGCGAATGTATGTAACAGGCAGAGAAGGCGTGGCAGACCCCACAAAGTATATATATTCTTGATCAGGATGACACTTCGAGTCGATATAGCCATGTCCGTCTGTCTGTATGAACGCAAGGATTTCAGAAAGTATAAGAGCTAGAATAACCAAACTTAGTATCCAGATTCTCCTAAGTCCGAGAAAGAACGAGTTTGAGTCGCGAATTATGCGCCCAAAGCAGCAGAAAAAGAGGAAGAAGAAGAGCGAACTTGTTGAAAGTCCAAAAAATAAAATAAATTCGTCCTTTCTCGGACCTAGGAGAATCTGGATGCCAACTTTGGTTATTCTAGCTTTTATAGTTTCTGAGATCCTTGCGTTAATCCAGACGGACAGACAGACGGACGGACGGACGGACGGACATGTCTAGATCGATTTCTCTCGTCATGCTGATTCGAAATATATATACTTTATGGAGTCGGAGAAGCTTCCTTCTGCATGTTACATACTTTGCACAAACCTAATATACCCTTTTTACCCTACGGGTACAGGGTATAAAAATTTGCCCTTTTAGAGTGTACAACACCCGACCCGGACTTAAATCCGATACAATGTCTTTGGGGCATCTTGCCTAAACGGGTTTAAGCCAACGGAAGCCAATTTGTAACTCTAAACGAGTAAAGAGAAACCATTATTAGGGGGATACATTTGACATTCCAATGCTCCAAAACGTAATGAATTTAACGCCAAGTTGAATAAGGAAGGTGTCGAGCAAGGACGGGTTTTCCATTTCATATATATTCATCGTTTAAAATTCTTTGTTTTGCTCTTTTTATACCCTGCACCCATGTACATGGAACACACAGAAGGAGGCGTGGTAGACCCCATAAAGTACATACACTCTTAATCAGCATGACAAGCCGAGTCGATAGAGCCATGTCCGTCTGTCTGTCCGTCTGTCTGTCTGTATGAACGCAAGGATCTCAGAAAGTATAAGAGCTAGAATAACCAAACTTGGTATACAGATTCTCCTGAGCCCGAGAAAGGGCGAGTTTGTTCATGTTTCCCGATGCAACACCCCACTCCCTCTCTTTTCCCTAACTCACCCAACTCTTGGAATTTCGAACTAAAACTTTGTAGTCACATCTAGTTAGTGATTATGTGTCGGCTTATTAGGTTTCATTATGATAGATCAAATAGAAAGAAAGTTATAGCCATAAATATAATCTCTGCCCAAGCTCGACAGCTGTTGTTGTTGTTGATGATGTTTGTTGGCATAATTCTGTACATCACACTAATGTTTCCACTTATGTATTTTTATTTAATTAATTAATTTATTTAAAATTCAAAATTTTTTCTTATTTTTGGGAGTGTGTACAGGGTATTTCAGAGGTGAACTCGCTCGACCCTAGCGTTCCTTTCTTATTTTAACTAAATTGCAAAAACAACAAAAAAAAGCTGCATTCTGTTGCTTAATAACTTTTGACCCCCTCTGTTTTTAATACTATTTAAATAATGAGAATTTTGTTATTTTTAAAACTTCTTAGTAAGTCTTCTTAAGACTAGGT